AGCCCCGCCCCCGGCGACCATCCAAGCCCCAAGCCCACCCACAGCCCAGGACCGCACCCGGCGGTCTGCCCTTCTTCAGGACACCCTCCCCAAATGGCAGTCAGGGAACGGGATGGGAATAAAGACCCTGACACCCACACCCCCACCCCAGATGTACTGTTGGTGCATGTTGTTCTATAGAGTAATTTAAAAAAGGAAAGAAGAAGAGGCAGAGGCCGGCGTGGTGCCAGTTTCCCCTCCACCACTACTCTAACCCAAAACCCTAAGTGTCTATGTGCAAACGTTGGGGGGTGTGCACAGGCACAGAAGGCAAGAGTGGTGCCATCGGGCCACCTATAGCCATGAGTGCCCACCTTAAGTTCCTATATGTGAATTTCATGAAAATGTTACGAGTGAATGTCTAAGATGTACAATAAAATTTGGGGCCCAGGTGGTTATGGCAAATACAAATGTAATATTGTTGCTCTTATAACACGACTGTGCCCCCAAAAAAAAACCTACATGGGTGAAGTTGAATGTGAAGAGGATGGAGGTGTGCGGCGAGGGATGGGGAGAATAAACTGAGGGAGCAAAATGCTCCCACAGTTAATTTGTAAGTTAAATATTTAGTTTATAAACTATGATATTTATAAATGTATGAATCATATGGTGAAAAACTAACTTTAAAAAATAAATCTGTTCTTTTTTTCTTATAAAAGGCTAAATAAAACAAAAATACTGGTGGTAATTTTTGACTGTGTAACTTTACAAACAGCAGCCCGTAGAAATAATTTGATAATGATAGCTACCACTCAGTGAGGGAATGAACTGTAAACCTCCTGCTGCCCTGCCTGCCACAATGTAACACTGTCAACATAATTATGGAGCGTGATTTATTTTCAACTCTAAATATCTTCAAACTAATGAAATATAAAGTTATTAGGGAGGAAAACCCATCTGGATAACAGCAGACTGACTGCTGGTAAAATATACGACAGGTCTGGACCACTCCTGAAGTTTGTTCGTATCTGAAAAAAATCGTAGAATATGAAAACATTGGTGAATGTCACAAATTCTCCTAAATCACTCGTACGCACAATTTAAGAACAAATCTGTGCGTACCAACGGTTCTGACATGAGGCCCATTGTTGTGTTTACTACACTTCATGAAGTCCTAAAGCTGATGTAAGATTGATGCACATCCAGTGATTATTTATGACATTTATACTGTGCTGTTTGTAACAAACACACACACTTCAGTCAGACACACAAACATTGTTATTGTTTGTCCTTTAGAGGCAGACACTATGACATGTCACATGTAGAAACTTAGGTTAGTGTAACTAGTTATTTAAAACTAACCTGCTGATGGTAAAGGTGACCTGATGACATCATCTACTGAGCTGTGCTTCGTTTATTTTAATGAGGAGTTCATTAAATGTTTTCACACTAGTGTGTGTGTGTGTGTGTGTGTGTGTGTGTGTGTGTGTGTGTGTGTGTGTGTGTGTGTGT